GCAGATGTTCGTGGGTCGGGTCGTGTCAACCCGGTAACTTGTACGGGTCGGGTCCGGGTTGACAAATCTGACCCATTTGCAAAACCGAGTCGGATTAGGATCGACCCGTTTATGATTGGGTCAAATCAAATTCAACTCGAACCCAATCCCTTGGTGAGAATAAAAAAGAGAAAAGCCCGAGCTCTAATCAGAACCCATCACTCCAGTATTTCACTATTTTGTCTCCTCAGTCGCGAAGGCGGGAAACTTTTTCATAGCCCTAATAAATATACGCGGTTTATAATTCCATTAGAAATATCCCATTTTGCTCTTCGCCTGCTCCTCGTCCTTTCATTTATTTGTTCGGAAGAAATGGGGAAGAAGAAAAAGGCTAGGGTTTCTTCTGAGGGCTGTAAGGCTGAGCCCACGGAAGAATCCGAAGCTGGCGAAGCATCGGCTCCCAAGGAGAAGAGCCTCTACGAGGTAATCATATTCTCTTATCTCCTCGTGCTATTTGAAGTTGCTTTCTAAATTCTAAGCTTGAATCTTTTTATCGTCTTGCTTGTTTATCCCGGCTCTAAACGTAGTTATAAATCATGTTTTAGAGATTTCGTGAGTCAAAGATAATGCATTCTCATATCCAGTTACGATCATACGATGCGGGTTGCATGCCTTTGACTCTTGATGATTTTCTTAACGGAAAATTGATGCGTCTTATGTGAACTGCGCTTGCAAACATGTTGCACTGAAGTATTGGTGAAAATTGGTTGTAGCGGGATGACATATGGAACTGTTTAATAGGCAGTGTCAATTCAGCAGGGGTTACTCAAAAGCATCAACAATTCTTGTTAAGCTTGGGGTTCTTAGATCGGATTTATTGACTATATTTTTCACCGATTGAATAAAAAAAAGCTTCTTTAGCTTTTTTTTTTTTCAATCACCATTCACCTTATCCCAACAAATTTTAGTTTAATTCAGTTATTCATAATAGTATCATTTATGAATGTTACTATTGCCAACAGAGAAGTAACAAAATATAGAAAATTAGAAATTTCATTTACAGAAGCATGTTCTATTTAGGTATTTTTTTGCCATGTTTCTCAATACCTCAGTTCCATCAAACTTCTTCAAATGCCATTTATTCTCCATGTCTCTCAACACCTCAATTCCATCCAACTCATTTACATGCTATTGCTTCTGTAGTTTGGCTTCCATAACCTTAAATTTAATGAAAATCATTGATAAATCCCTGTCTGGGGAACATGCAGTATCTTAGTGTTATGTCAGAAGATTTGTGATAAATTTATCTCATCTAATGGTTAACTTAAGTCCATGGAACAACCAAACCCTTGTATAACTAACTACTTTGCTGTCCTCTCTGTGACACTAATAAATAAGCAAATGGAATACTTTTTGTTTTTCTATATGGAGTTATTTTCTTATGGATCTGTCATGGATAATTGTATATATGGATTTGATTATACACAACTAAAGTAAATAAGTTGTTCATGATATTGTACCTTGAATTAGTTCATTACATTACAAAATATTCACTTTTGAGCAGTTTATTTAGTCAGGAGATTTGAATTTCTCAATTAAATAGGGTGGAATGCATAAATTAAGGTATGATTATATCAGAATAATGAATGGGGTGATGTCTATCAAAGATAAGATAGTTGAAAATACATTTAGGTTATTTATACATTTACAAGAAATGCTCAAAAACACAGTCATTAGGTGGATGGATAAAGGTATTGTGTTGGATTATGAAGTAAAATGGTTAGGTCTAAAAGGACATAGATAAATTTGTTGAAAATGCTTTGTGAAAAACATGTTTAACACCCTCAATTTTTATTGGGATGAATAAAAAATAAGGATTCATAAAGTCATACCTCTAATAGTTGAGATAATGCTAATAATGATGGTTTGAATCTTTCACCTCTCCTAGTGGTGGGGACAATTCTAACTGATTATTCTAGAATTTGGTCTTCATTATTATGGTAATCATTTATCCTAATTGGGTGAACTAATTAAAATGACCTATAGTCTTCCTACTTTGCAGCAATAGTTTCAATTTTCAAATAGCATCCTGTAAAAATGTTAGAAATGTTTAAGATCTTTATTTATATAGCTTATAATATTTAGAGAATTACAGTTGATGGCAAGATATGATATATATGATAATATGTCTGTCCTGTTTGATTTTCAACTAATTTGTGTTTAGTATACTGCATAAGAATATATAAATGAAACCCTTTTAATGGAAAATAGCTTTGTTGCGAACATATCTAAATATGTTGCAAAATCACATCTAGAGTCCTTTCAAATGTCATTCGTTTATAAAAGAATATATATACATATAATAATCAAATTGGCACTTGAATCTGAACAATAATGTTAAAATCAAAACACAATTAAACAAATTTAGATTGCTATATATAGCCGTGAGTGCTTATGTTTTAAATAACTTGCATGCAACCATACATGATAGGATACAAGCATCACTTTTGACCAGCTAGAACTTACATGTTTGTATTAAATGTATGAAGGATATATTTGGGCATCTTAGTCTTCTATTATTTTTTTAAATATAATTTTCCTAAAACGGTAGCCTTCCGATAACCCGGTTAGGAGAGTAGATGTATTAGATTTGACTTATGTTAAGAAATGTAGAGATATACCTAAGAAGACTTGGTTAGAAAATATTATAAATAACCTTTCTTTATTGGATTTAAATGAGAATTTGACTCTTAACAGGGCACAATAGAGAAAAAGTATTCATGTAGACGACCCCACATAGTGGGATAAAGGCTTGATGTTGTTGTTGTTGTTAGGTTTTAGTTCTGGATGATTCTTGTTTGCCTGAGTAGTGGAATATGGAATTTAAAATGAATCATAATTATGGGGTTTTCATATTTAAGGACCTAGATCCAACTGCTGCTTGTAATGATCAGCCCAAATTAATTGGATTGGTTCAGTTCTTATTGATTCCTATGGAATTTTGGCACGTCTCAACAGGTTCATGTGTTGTTGATTGGGGAACTCCACACACACACATATATACACACACTCAACTAAAAAACTTCAACTCGATTTAAAAAATTTAGAAGCCTTTTTACTTCTAACATAATATATATTTAATTTATATTATGGTATTTTAATTTTAAGTATTTATTTAAATCACATAAAAATTATGTGAAATGTAGTGAAAAGTTGTTATCATTAGTCTTATCCCAATGAAATGAATGTTGAATTTTGAAACTTCCTAACCTCCCAAACTTGTTGAAGTTAAGCTCCATACCAATGTGAAACTCCAAGGTAAACTGAAAATTTAAACCTTTGGTTGCAAATCAAACTTCATCAGGATAACTTTTTGTTGCTATTCTGTAGTTTAGTTTTGTGGCATTTTTCGGTAATCTTATAGTGTGCGCTCAACCTTAGTTCTGCTCTGAAACTATGATCCTACAATTATTGTTTACTTTTCAGATATTGGGTGTGGAAAGGACGGCATCTCAACAGGAAATTAAGAAAGCATACTACAAGTTGGCTCTCCGTCTTCATCCTGATAAGAATCCTGGTGATGATGTACATTTCTACCCATGATCACAATGTACTTGTTTTTTCGTTGCAGTGTCTTCTTTCTGTTACCATAATCTCTTTTGTTCTTTTTTTTTTTCTTAGGAAGCAAAGGAAAAATTTCAGCTTTTGCAGAAGGTGATATCTATTTTAGGTGATGAGGAGAAAAGATCCCTATATGATCAAACTGGTTCGGTTGATGATGATGTAATTTCTTTGAACCTGTTCCTTTATATGATTTTAACATAATCCCATTAAAACCCTTACCTTGATGATAATTATTTTATCAATCAGATGCTTGTTGGGAATGCAGCTGATAATCTTCAAGAGTATTTCCGATCAATGTATAAGAAGGTTCTTTTGAATATTTCCCTGTTTGAAGTATTATTTTTATGATTTGATTCTTGATTTTATTTCTTAGTTAGTTATTGAGAAACATTTCTTCGTGGTTTTAGGTAACTGAGGCTGATATTGAAGAATTTGAAGCCAACTACAGAGGATCAGATTCAGAGAAAAAAGATTTGAAGGATCTCTACGCAAAATACAACGGTAATATGGACAGGTAAACAAAAGTTGAACTGCTCCGGGTTTTTGCAGCTTAAGAGTGGTTGGGAGGTGTATGCTTTCAATCTGATGAACTCATTTATCAACATTTACCATCCGGCAAACTCTAATGACTGGTTTTTTTGTAGGCTTTTTTGTTCTATGATCTGTTCTTATCCAAAGCTAGACTCTCATCGTTTTAAGGATATCATAGATGCGGCAATAAATGAAGGTAAGGTTTGGTTTTCTGTTTAATACTTCTTAAAAATTATTTTACTTCATACATGGTGATTATAGACATTTTTTAAAAATGAAAGTGCAAGGGGAAGTATTCTACCACCTGTTAAAGTGGAAAAATTATTCGGTCTGGATATCGGACATAGAGATACATCCGGACATCCACAAAAAATTTGATATATGGAGTGCACTTTAGTTGTACTTTTTTGCGCGCTTTACTTGCGCTTTAGTTGCACTTTGACTGCATTTTGATTGCGCTTTACTTGCTCTTTACTTGTGCTTTGGCTGCGCTTTTGGTGCGCCTGGCTTAAAGTTCCACTGACACATTAAATATATTGAATATCCACGTGTCAACTCCATGTTCAACATTTTATTGACGTCCGGATGTAGAGCTACGTCCGGTGTCCGGGCTTAATAATTTTCAGTTAAAGTGAAGCATAACCTTCAAAGCTGGAAGGACAAGATTTTTTATTTTGATAGGAGGACGCATAAGGTCTTTCTAATTGAAAAGAGTGAAATTTAGTAGGCATATGCGACAGGGCGAAGTTTAACGCTAAATTATGGTTCCACTTATTTGAGGACAATTAAATTAGAAAGTTAGTGCACATGACTGCATGTTTCTCTCTCTCTCTCTCGGGAGAATCATGCATGCTTTAGTTTCTATTGCTAAAAAACTACAGAAAAACATGGAAACGAAAATAGAGTTTAGGCCTAAAACAGTAAAGATGCGCTTTAGAGAGACTAAATTTGAAAGAAAGCTAGAAAATAAAGTTTTTTGAGCTTCAAAGCTGATGGACAAACGTCAGATTGAAAGGTAAAACCATAAACCTCAATTAAATTAAGCTCCAAATCCCATATTTGCAAAGTGTTCTGGAAAGCTATGCTTCAACAATAGCAAAATATCCTGCTTTCGAGTATGTTCTTTGAAAATTTTCATGAAACTCAAAATTCTGAGAAGAACTATCGCTTGTCATACAAACTCACCTCAAATGAGTAATCGTGGTTTCATTTCTCCTGTTTTTTTATTCATTCCTTTTTTTACTTTTCATGTTTTCTTGTAATCCAAAAGACCAAAACATGACATTTTCTCCCGGGTAAGAAATTTTATGACGCTGACCCATTCATTTAACTGGCAGGAGAACTCAAGTCAACTAAAGCATATCAGAAGTGGGCAAAGAAAATTTCTTTGATCAAACCACCAAGAGATCCTCTAGCCAGGAAAACAAAGTGGGTGTTCCTTGTATCCTGCTTTCTGAAAATCAAAGAATTAGAGCTTATTATCATTTTTACTTGCTTTTTCAGATCAAAGATGAAAGCTGAAACTGATCTTGTTGCGCTCATCTCCCAACGACAAAGTAGCCGGAAAGAGCAATTTAATTCTGCCCTTCAATCCATAATGGCAAAACATGATCCAGCTGGAGATCCAGAACCCTCAGAGGAAGAGTTCCAGGCAGCAAAACAAAGGCTTGAAAGCAAAAAAAGATCCAAAGGGAGGAAGCGGTAATCTGTTAGAAACATCTCAGTTTCCTTTTAGACATGAATTGGATGAAAACTTTTTCCTTGTTAATGTCTTACTTTAAACCTTCCATGATAGTGTGATGTCTGTCACATTGTTAACATATCAGTTTCCTTTTAGATGGGAATTAGATGTGGACTGTGAGAAAAGGGAATGAGAGTTAGGATTATATCCTTCGCAGCTAATCTGGGAATATCATATCAGAAAATTTGGGATTTTTGTTCTTCTTCTACTTGTTTTGTAGATGATTTGTGTTTTTTGGGGATATTTTGGCTAATTAAGTCAAACTCTCATATATCACATACTCAATATTCGAAATCAAGACCTCTTGATTGATAGTCAAAGTATTTCACCGACAAATCAAGATTGAGTTTGATTTAGACTTTGTTTGGGACGACTTTTTTACTGCTTTTTGAAGCAGGTTTCTAGTACAAAAATTTTAACTTTTATATTAAAAAGCTGCTTCAAGAAGCAGTGAAAAAGTCGCCCCAAACGAAGTCTTAGTAACTAGTTTTGCAAGATTAACACCAACTTTGGTTCAAATTTGACGATTTGCTTCTGAGTGATCAAATATTTTTTCAATCAAAGAGTTTGAGAAATTCTAAATTCATTTTGTATTTCATTTTTAATGTATTCAAAATTCATCCGTTTTTAGTAGAATTCTCAATACATTGCAAGCTAACTCTACTCTTGCCACTGGCTGACAACTGTTTGCCATAGCTGCCAAACACTGCTTCCAACACCATGACACTAACCACCACCATCTACCGCCGACTGCCTCCTGCTGCTACCTCCTTGATCATCAGCCACTATTATTATTAAGCTTTATTCCACATTTTATTTTAATTAAAAAAAAAAATTTAATCACGCATTACTTGTGTAATTAAAAAAAAATTTAATCACCTGCATTACTTGTGTTACATTAATCCAAATATTCTCAAAATTTTCAAATATATTACTGTGTTCTATTTTAGTATACATATTTTTTTGCCCACAAAACAAAGAACCTCAATATCTAATCACGAAGACTTTCCACTTCTATACAAAGAAACAACTGTGATTCATTCCACATATGCTATATATATATATAGAGAGAGAGAGAGAGAGTAAAAATAAAACAGAAATTAATTACTAGACAACCTGGCGAATTTTTTTTTTTTTTTTTTTTTGACATTTAGGCCATTTGAGGCAAATTCACACACAACGCATACACAAAGACTCAAACCCAAGATCTCTTAGTTGGAAGCCTAAACTCTCAACCAACAGACCAAACTGAGCCGTGTGCACAACCTGGCGATTACCTAGTAATCAATAATATTGGAATAATTAAGGAGCACTTCAGTAGATTTTTCTTGGGCATCTTGAAAAAAGAGTGTTTTAAATTTAAATTAGTTTAAGGAGTGATGTATTCTAAAAAAATTATCTTGATCAAGCACGAATCTCGAGGCAAAATCTAATCGGAAACTTCAAAAATTAAAATCAAGAGCATTCGAACTCCGATTTCAGTGAGCTTATAGTCAAACTGAGCGTCTCAGAAATACGAACCCAACGACAACAAATTCGACCCAATCTGAGCCCAAATGGGTCCGAATCAAGGACCCGAAGAGCTGTTGGAGGGTTCAAACCGTAATTTGAGTTACCAAACGGTCTCTGATTTTAACGAGCTTATACTCGAATCGAGCGGCTCGACGAGACGAATCCAACAAGCCCAAGATCGCCGAATTCCGACATCATTAAGGCCTCCAAATGTCCAACGAATGGTGCACGATCGAAGGGTTCGATATCGGCAGTCCATTCAAACCACTCCCTATTCGGCCCTGATCTCACACCTATTTACAAGCCATGCAACTCCAGAAAAACTATAAATAGAGCCCTCATTCTTCACAAAGGGGACTCAAGTGAAGAGAGAGAAGAAGAAAAGAAGGAAAGGAGAAAGGGGAAAAGGAGAATCCTCTCCTCCTCGACCACCGCCGGAGCTCTTCCCGCCGCCTGAATACGCTGGAACTCTGCCAGATTTTCGGGAAACGACGGGATTCTGCAAAACTTTGTAAATTTGCTTCAAGTTGTAATCTGATCATCCCGATTTGTGGGATGAATCAGTTTCTTGTAATTTACAAAAACACTAGTAGAATTTTTTAGTTGGGCGTGGCCCCGTGGTTTTTTTCCTCTTTTGGGTTTCCCACGTAAAACTCAT